TTCCGGGTTCGGCGACCAACCGGTTCGCAGGGACCGCCGCGAACCGGTTGAAACCCACCCCTGAAGAGATGGAACATCTTCTGATTATTATTGGGCTAGACCAGATGATCTGTGAGAATACTACTACTAATCCTTAAATTCCATGATTCTACTTGTAGATCTCTGGAGCACAATCTGCGCCATAGTTCATGAGCTCTAGGTTCAGTTGACCTGACTGGGTTGATCTGCAGTGGTGCAGTGGTTAGAATGCAGTACTGCAGGCTACTTCTGCTGACTGCCAGCTGACTGCAATTTGGCAGGTCAATTCCCACTAGGCTCAAGGTTGACTCAGCCTCCCATCCTTCCGAGGTGAGTAAAATGAGGACCCAAATTGTTGGGGGCAAGAGGCTCACTCTGTAAACCGCTTAGAGTGGGCTGTAAAAGCACTGCGAAGCGGTATATAAGTGCTATTGCTATCCAAGCCAAGTTCAGTTTACCTTAAATTCTGTCTAAGTAAGAGAAAGCAAGTTCATTAAAATGTATGCCCTGTGTGTATCCTTCTCTGGCAAATTATTGTGAGTATAACTGATGCTGATTCAAACTGAAGAATCTTTCTGCATAATTAGCAATAGCAATAGACTTATATACTGCTTCACAGTATTTTAGAGCCCTCTCTAAGCGGTTTACAGAGTCAACCTATTGCCCCCCAATAATTTGGGTCCTCATTTGACCCACCTTGGAAGGATGGAAGTTTCAATCAACCTTGAACCTGGTGAGATTCGATCTGCCAAATTGCAGGCAGCCAGCAGTCAGCAGAAGTAGCCTGCAGTATTGCACTCTAACCACTGTGCCGCGGTGGCTGTATTAGTTCCCTCTTCACTTCACAAATGGCAGTGGCTCATAGTTTTCAGAGGTTAGAGATGAATTTGAATTTGAGAAAATTTAGAAGATTTTTACCTAATTCTGTCCAAGATATATTCAAGATCTAAGTCTCCGATATAACATTTCTCTTCTGCTTGAAGCAAGATGGTATGCTTAAATGATGGAAGTTTGCTAAACATCTGGTGAACTTTCTCTGTTGTGCTCAAAGACATCCTTATGGTCTTCTCCTCTGTCCAGGTGAGTGGCAGTGTCCTGAGTGTGTACAGTGGTGATTTTGGGAGTGTCGATGCTCAGGGGCTGGTCCAGTTTGCCTTGGATTATGATGAGAAGAACCAAGAATTCCAAATTTTTGTTTCCCAGTGCAAAGACTTGGCAATTGTGGAGGAAAAGAAAGGAAGGACAGACCCGTAAGTAAAGTTGGTTTAAAAAAAAAGTCTTAGCAACATCTACTGTCCTAATTTTTTTGTTATGCGTCGCTTGCTTGGGTGGAATTTGATGTGAAATATCCTGAAGCCGGAGAATCCTCCAAGAATTTTACTTCCATCTCAGTTCTGCTGGTCAGAAGGGGGCAACTCGCCACAGCCAACTTGCTCTGACCCACTTGCCCCAGTCGTCTCATCCCTGCCAACTCATCCTGGCCAACTTGCACCTTGAACCTAACACAAGACAAGGCCCTCTGCAAGCCACTTTTCCCTCTCTCGAATTGTCCCATATTGAAATGTCCCACACTGAATTATCCTAGACCCATGAGGGCAAACCTATGGCAATGGCAATAGCAATAGCAGTTAGACTTATATACCGCTTCATAGGGCTTTCAGCCCTCTCTAAGCGGTTTACAGAGTCAGCATATTGCCCCCA